TGTTTGAATTGGATATTTGAATGCCTTTATATGATCGGGGTTACTAGATGTTGGACTTTTAAAGCCTCTAATAGCTAGCATTCTCTAATATATATAAAAGGAGCTCAAATGATATAATGGGAGGATGTTGTTTTTTAGTATGTATTCTTTTTCATATATATTGTATATGTATCTTTCAATTATTTTTTTTGGGCAACTTCAATTCGAGTCAAGTTCATCCCAACCTTCCAGTAGACGTGACCTCTGAGGAGGTGCTACTGTGAGTATATTTGGGTTGGATCTTGGAGCTGCATATGTATGTTAGTACCTTCACGTGGGGAGGCATAGTTGTTTTAGGACAGTGATCACACGCCTCCTAGATATCACAGGCTAACTATTTCTAATTTATTATTGTCTATTTTATACTATTCTAATTGCATATTATTATATTATATATTTGATTGAATTCTTTTTATATTGTGTTTTTATAATTATGTTGTTAATTAATATTTGTAAAATTATAGAATTTTATCCCAACAAGAGAGAGGAGATGAAGATCTCTATCTTCGTCTTTGTTTTTGCTGGAGATCTCTGTCTTCGTTGCACAGCCTCGTTGCACACACACACAGAGGAGACGAAGATCTCTATCTTCGTCTTCGTTTTCGTCGAAGATCTTTGTTTTCGTTGCACAGCCTCGTTGCACACACACACACACACATAGAGGAGATGGAGAAAACAGGTAATGAATGGCTTTTATACTTGAAAGAAAAAAAATGCATTTTGCTGTTAAGGAAGTTTGATAGGTGAACCTTATTAAAGATGATAAGCTGTTTTCCTTGTTTTTTATTTTAGTCTGAAAACTCAGAAAACATCATTTTGTTGTTATCTAAAATCACATCTCATTTCCCAAAATTTTCAAAAAATTAGAGAATAAAAAATCTAAATAAACAGCATCTTCTTGTTTTTAATATTTTGAAAATAAAAAACTATTTTTGAAAACCAAACCAAACATGCCCTAGGTTTTTGTTGTCAAACCAAACCAAAAAAAACTGTTTTCCTTTCTTATTTGTAGCTTAATTATTTTAGAATAAAATTATTTATACATAATTAATATAATTAAAGACACTAACCCTTAATTATTTTAGAATGATATTATTTGAAAGTCATTAATATAAAACATACCATGGCCCATAGCCCGACAGTTCTCCAACTGCTACACGGCAGGGAATGGGCTTAGGTCTCTGACCATTTAGGCCTGTAAAGGAGGGCCTACCCATTAAATTGATAGCACAATGTAAAGGAGGGCCTCCACATGAAAAACTTTCTCAACGCCCGTTAAGAAAGTCATTGAACACATAATTATAAATCCTCAAATTGGTCGTTTATTTTCCAATGAGAATTGTAATTCGCAAGTTAAAAAATTTAAACATTAACAATACGCGGATTGAAGAGTTCGGATTTGAATTAAAGTTGGGTTAAGTATTTAAGTACATACAAATATTTTTCTCATTCAGTAGGTTGAGGGTAGGAGATGAGTTCAAGAAAACATTAAATTTTTGCACCAAAACTAGTTGATCTTCCAAAAAAAGAAATATACTTGTCTAATCTAGCTAATGATATTGGCACATATCACTTGCTATATTATTAGGTCAGATTTTGTGGTCGAATATCAATGCTTCTTCATGTGTGTGTGCGCATACGCGTGTGCCCGGGATTTTGGTTAGGAGAGAATGCATTCATGTGAAACATCGATTCTGCTTTAATATAAAACATCAACAAATTGTTCTCTCTTCCTTCGCATGTGAAACATCAATTTTGTTTTCAAAAAAGGGTAGAAAAACACTTCCACATTACTACCAAAGTTGATGGCTTGTGAACTCAGTTCTGTGAGAAATAATGTGTACTTGTCTTCCATTCTCTCAACTTATTTAGTTCAATACAAATCACTAGTAGACCACTTCAATATACATACACACACAAACATATAGCCAAATACATTAACTTGGCGGATATTTAGTCTTATAGTCACTCCAGAGCTGATCAACTGTCTTGCCCAGCAAATCAAAAAAGAAGTCATCACTATATCTAGTTCTCATCTTCTTGTTTAGCTCTGCAACAAACCCATTTTGTAAACTATTACAATAATCTAGAAACCGAGCTGTAACATCGTATCCTTGGTCCCAACTATCTCCTTCGCCGGGTTTCACCCAATGGCTAGGCGCTAAACCGGCCTTCAACCTCACATAATCAGCAATCCCTTCAATCAACCCTCCATTAGCAGTGCTATTACCATCCCACTGCCATACGTGTGTGTTCTCATGATACTGTACTCCGGTGATCTCCGTTTTAACATCACCTGTTGGGATATGACACGTGAGAATTCTATAATGGATAAAAAATGAATTAATAACATCCTAAATAGTTCTCATCCCATAAATAAGATAGGTTTTATGTAACCGGTTATCAGTTGACCATACATAATGCATCAATATAGTTCTTTGGCCTGTGTTCTTAATTATGTCCCGAACAATTCTATGAGAGCTAGTTTGAATAAATAAATTCCAACAAGGGATATGATCATATGAGAGCTAATGTGTAAACAAAATAATTTCGACATAACCGGAGTAATCTTCCATATAGTTGGCGCTAACGTGTGTCTCGTCACCACTAGTCCACGCCACTCCGCCCATGTCGTCGATGAAAACGCTCACTCGTTGCACATTTTTCCGGTCGGCCGTGGAGTTCTGGTGAAAGAGCCTCCATATGAAGTGGGTGGAGGATATCAGTGTTTGCTTGCTGTATGCAATTCCGATTTCTTTTGTGAATTTGATACCACCTGGGGTTGTGGGAGTCGTGTTCTTCACAGTGTAATTCACTGCATGGCTTCCTTGCATGGCTACTAACATTAACAGAAAATAGATAAAGAAGATCTCGCGAGTCATTTGCTCTTGATTGCTGTTCTTTTTCTGGTGTGTGAGCTTTTTGCATTATGATTTTTATATAGATGAATGACTTACCTACATTATAAAGTGGGTGTTTTTTTTTGTCCATTTCAAATGAGGATGCCGTGGCAGGCAAGTCATTCAAACAATTTAGTAAAGACTACGTTGAAGAACTGCACTATCACCAGAATAAATCATGGGACCTCGTTCTCAAAACATCATGAACAGTACAAAATATTGAGCGTAACGATTACACCTTGTCTGCAATGCCAATGTCACTTGATATAACCATTACACCTTGTCTGCAATGCCAATATCACTTGATATAACCGTCCATTAACAAGTGAATATATGGGCGCACGAGTGTCATAAAATTTAATAATTGTTATTTATATAATACAGGATAACATACACTTTTAGTCCAAAATTATGTTTTTAGTGTTTATTTGGTCTTCAATCCTCTAATTGTGTCTATTTAATCCCTAAAATACCTAATTTTTATCTACGTGTTCAATCCCAAACATTCGTAAGAAAATCGTGACGGTTCTAGTCACGCGATAATTTTATAGTTCTTAATTTTATATCTATTTGGTCTATAAAGTTCCTAATTTGTGTTTATTTGGTCCCACGTAATTAAAGCGTGACCAAAGACATTAATGATTTTTTTACGGACGTTTCTGATGGGACCATATAAATACAAATTAAAAATCTTACGGATTAAATAGATACAATTAAAAGATTAAGGATTAAATAGACACTCTACACACGAGTAAAAATATATTTTACCCTATAATATATTCTATGTAAAGAAAAAGAATTTACTTTATCCATTTTCTAACTTTCTTAAAGAATATTTACTCCCTGAACAGACAAGGGTTTTCATTGTCAAATGTACAGAACATGTCAAAAAAAATCATTTTATGTTGTTTCAATAATCAATATGTTTTGTCTTTAGTTATATTCATTAAAAGGACCTAAGATCATCTTCATTTCATTATTTTTATAATTAGATTTCACTGTTCATTTGCAGTTCTTTATGTTGTAAAGTTTGTAAAGGAAATAGAACGGAAAAAACGGATCATACTCGATCCATCTCCATCCATTTGCAGTTGTATGTATGTATTGAGATACCTATTGGTGCAAAATCGAATATGGCTGTGGATCGAATGGCTCATATCAACCAATCCATCAAACTTGACTACCCGGTCATTTTGGCATTTGGTAAAGACTAAAAAACCCTACACATGGTGTGCCAAGTCTTTTAACACTCTCATTCTTCCAAAATGACATGTTAAACATAAACATTCCAATCCTTTTTTCAAACCCACCACGTGATCATTGTCACGTTGTGTCACCGTCCAATAATAAACTTACAAATAAATAAGTGAATTGTTAGAGTATGTGTGGCTCATATTTGCTGTGTACATAATGACAAGGAAACAGATGCCGGAGCGGAGCTCGCGACAGCATCTACCTTGCGGGATTTATATAAAGGGGATGCTGATTAGTTGAGGGTGCGGGGGCAACGCCCCCGCGATACGATACAAGGTATTTTTATAAATACGTCCATATTATAGTTATATAAATACTTAAGATGTAACCCTACTTCAAGAATGGAAAAGAACGACCGCTCGCTCTCGTGGATGTAGGCACATTGCCGAACCACGTAAATCTCTGTGTGTTATTTTCTCCTGTTTTCTTAATTGTTTGATTCATTACTATTCACCATAATTGCTGCACGATCACAACATGAATCTCATAGATTCTAATAACCACACTGTCATGTGATTTAGCGACCACTCAAGTGGGATTCATATTATTTATTTGTCGGTTTATTATTGGATAGTGACATCGTGTGTCAATGATGACGTAATGTCACAGCTACACCCAATATTTACTCAACAAGCAGTTACCCCTTTCTGTACACCCAGAAAGGGCATTCAAAAACACTTCTCTTCAGTCCTTTTTTGACCACCCTTCGTCATGTTCATCAAAATATATTGCATGCATGTATCAAATTACTAGTTTCAAGTAGGCAGCCATGAACAACAGAGAAAGAGAGAGAGATTTGGAATGGTTTCAGAGCTGTGATGAAAGGTTATTCTTAGTGACAGGTGACCAGAAATCAGCACCATTGGTTTCTGCTACTTGTAGGGTGCACTGTATCGGAACCAGACACAAACCCCTGCTCCACAGATCCTTCCTTGATTCGCATTCTCCACCCTCCTGCCCACCCCAATGCACAGTTGAAAATCATTAGGTACAACCACACTTTTAAGGTAAGTGATTTGTAAAAACAACTTTTTTTATGAATATACAAAAATATGAAATTCAAAAATATGTGACAAACCAAAGCCCTGAGAAGATCACTAACAAAATACCGCATTTGGAGTTGATCCCTAAGGTGGATAACCTGGGAGTTGAAATTTTTGACGAAAGAAGTGCTTGATGAATTGGTGGGTCCCCATCAGTCAACTTTCAAACCAAAAAAGAAAAAATGACAAGAAAAATGGAAGATCGATGGAGTTCCTAATTTGTTATTTTTATATAATAATCTTTTACTTTGTTAATCAAAGAATTTCAACATGTAAATTACATAACAAAAAGATAGGAATTGGCTAAGCATTTAAGCAAAAACAATACAAGAATTCTTATCTAGAAAGCATTAGATTGAAAAGTATTTTTCTTTTAAAAAAAATATTGTTAAAACACTCATTTTAACGTGTTTAATTCACTTTCTGAGGAAAAAAAAGTATATGCAATTCACTTTTCAAATAAAAGAGGGCAATTTTAACAAGAAATGACAGACACCTAATCTAAAAGCTCCCCAAGGATCATAGTTACTTTTTTGCTTATCCCATGGTGGCGATATGTAATTGATTGTCATTATATTTCACCAATGAAACATTAATTTTCTGGTTATTTTTCTTTCCTTTTTTTGTTCATTCTCTTTCTTTTTGCCCCTTAATTAGAACCATCCTAACTAATTAAAAATCTTGCAAACTGTGACAACACTTCAAACATGAGACCCGTCTAATTATCCACAAACCAAAAGCATTGGATTATTAATTTGCAATTTAAAAACTCATAGTTAATTAATAATACCAAAACCAATCCATAATGCAAGCAACTCATGAGCTCGATGGGTAGGGCCACGGCTCATTTTTTGTCCACTAGAACCCATAGGAGGGCCCATTAAGACCCTCAGGGAAGCCCAATTAGCCCTGGCACAGTGACCCATCAAAATTTTGAAAAAATAAAAATTATGTTGAGTTTGAAGAAAAAAGTCAAGAAAAGTTTTAAAATAATAAGTGCATTAAGACTGACCCAATGAACAATCTGTTAAAGATCCTTAACAACAGCCTAAGGGCAAGACTTGGGGGTTGTCCTTTCCTTGTAAAAATTGCGCAATGTATAGCCTTATCAACAACACACCAATCGGTTACCAATCTACCACCGAGTAGGGTGGTTCAGGTGAGTATCGATAGAATTTTTCATCTTGAAATTAAAACTTCGAATCTTATAGTCCACATCGAGACTAGGTGCCAAGCTAGATTCATTCTCAAAAGGTGTAACGGACAAGGGTCAGGAGTCTCATGACTTCACTAGTGAAAGTCTATCGAGATAATCTCTAAGGGCTCTCTTTTGCTCTCACTTTTTTTTTTATAATTACCAGAAAAAAAAATCCCACCAAAAAAATAAAAAAAGACCATCAGCCCAACCCATGGGTTGAGCATGGTGGTCGATCAACAGGCTGGCCCAACCGGTTGGCAATGCTGGGCTACAATTTTTCAAAATGAACTAAGTTGAAAAAAAATCAACAAGACTCACCCATCCATACATTATTTTCGATGGTAGGCCCCAATTATGCCTAGTATCAAGGCTAAGGTTCACCAACCTAGTTAAGTGTACAACACTGTCATGTCAAGTATCACAACATCTTGTGCAATCGACCAGTCTTTTATGCCCAAGTCCTCCCAAACACCAGAAGTTTTGACCTTTTGTCTGGGCGTAACACAAACACACGTTTGTAACAACACACTACCAAGTACTCATTTGTCTTACTATTCACCAGCCAAACTGTAACATCTTGTAATATTAGGAGAATATACTAGCCTACGTAAAGATCTCGATCCTTAAAGATTAATCGATGACGCTTCCCTCTTTTAACGAAAGTATTTTTTCACTCGAAAAATTACTTAAACCATAGAAAGTAAAACAAAGTAATTAAATTAACTTTTTTTTTTTAAAAAGGTGGTTAATTCAAATATTAAACGTGAACTCTGGAAAAAAAAAAAAAAAAGTACTTACAAGGAGGTGGGGCGAGGAAGTCAGACGTTGCAAGTAAGGAGAACACAAGACCTGAACCTGGTCCTGCAGAAACCTGATATATCCCATCGCCTCATGAAGCACTGATGCTGTATCTGTCTGCACACCCATTACTTAATTTCATATGTATTATGTTTCCAAAAATTAAAATTTAATTATACCATAAAATAAAATTTCAACAGTACGAAATACTTATCGAAAAAATACATATAAGATTCATATAGAATTGTTCATAATCTGTTGATGCATGTTCAACCATTTATATTAGTTTTTTTTTTTTTTTTTTTTTGTGGACCACTATTAGAGGAAGGGGGACAGAGGACATCGAGGTTCGAACTCACACTTTGAGGGTACAACATGGGTTGTAAGTTCAACTTGAACTTTATATCTTTTTTGCTTTGATTGGATAAAAAAAGGGGTGTACCAAAAAATAATAATAATAACAATAAGCAGAAATGAAATAAAATAAATAAATCAAGATGATTAAATATTATAAAAGGGAAGGTATAGGTGGTTAAATATAGTAGAGGGAAAAACTATATAAGTAGCTAAATATACTAGAGGGCAAGTTAAATGTGGTTAAACATAAAAGAGAGAGAAGCAATTTACACCCGCTGTATTACTTTTTCATATAATTTTACTCAATGATAGAACACCTATCGCACGTGAATAAAGAGATCAACATATAAATAATGGATTCCACGTGAATATGGTGAAAATATGTCAAACCGAAGACATTATGGTGGTTAAATAGAATAAAACATGGGATATTATTCTAATAATTAGAGTAAAAAGAAAGAACACCAAACTCCTCTTTTGTAAACTTAAGTGAATTAACTATTTTACATGCATAAGAAATAATTAAATTAATCCAATATTGTAAATTTTAACCTTGCCAAAGGGTGATACAAGTTGTTGCAATGCAGTGATCCTTTCTCCAAGCTTCTCTTTCTTCACCTGAATCACTCAAAAACTCAGAACAATCAGGTATCAACAATTCCAAAAAGTACCCAAAAAAAAACAAACGAAATAAGAAATAAATAAATCTTATGTATTGCAAAGGTGACCTTTGCATGCCCGTTTTCCGATGAGTTTTCCGACTTGGTTTTCTTGCAGCTTCTCTTTCTTCCTTCCGGAGCTCCGGGACCAGAGCTCAACCTTAGACCCGATTCATTCCCTGACCCATTTCGTTTTTTCTACACAAGAAAATCAAAGAGAAAAAAAAAACAAAAGCAATCAAAGCAAAATCAACAATCTACAACATTTACTTTTGTCCTTTACCAAACAATTTTCACAAACCCATCACAGATTTTTTTTTTTTGGCATGGAACTAACATTTGATTTGGGCATGGAGGTGGTGGTGTTGCTGTTATTAGTTGAAGATGTTGAAGATGAATCGCTGCATGTAACTCCAGATTTCTGAGCAGTTTTGGGGGTTTCAGAAAACCCACCCAAATCAGTTTCATTCCCACAATCTCCCCCGAAACAAAGCATTTTGGGAGGATTTACAGAAGAAAATGAGGATGTATAGTTGAAACACCCATCGGCATCAAGACCCACATCTTCATCGGAGAACAGTAGCTGCGAAAAACACCCTCCTCCCAGTTTGCCACCATCAAAGTCCTTTTTCTCCGCCATAGATAGATATATATATATATATAAAGAGAGAGAGAGAGAGAGAGAGAGAGAGAGAGGGAGAGAGTGAGTGAGTGAGTGAGTGAGTGATTTGATTAAATGTATAGACCCAGAGACAGAGAGAGAGAGTGGGTTTTAGAGTGAGGCAATGGGAACAGGAAAGGAAGCTTCTTTGGAGTAAAAAAGGATGAGACAGATATGGCTAGCTCAGCACAGCAAGGTGTTGTTTTACACTTGTTGCTGCTCTCTCTCTCCTCTTTCTCTGTGTGGTTGGCGTTACGGCCGTTACTTGCATTTCAAGGCTTTGGTATTGTCGTCTCAGTCAAACTTCAAACCCACCTGGCCCGAGAAAACCATGGTTTGTCCACCCAAATTCCAAAGCATCAATTACCAAACCCGGTTTCCTAGTTTGGGAGAAACATTGAATGTATGGTAAAAATTATAGTAGTTCTTTCAATTTTATCTTCGATTTTTAATTTAATTCTTTAATTATCTCAATTTAATTTTTAACTACTAATTTTGTATCAATTAAGTCATTATGTCCACTTTTACCGTTACATCTACAATGAAATGGATAGATTGAACTAGTCTCTAATTGATTTAACAATAAAAATTGATAGAATGACTTAAATAAAAACGAAAATTGATAGTTAAGAGATTAAATTTTAACAATTAAAAGGTCATGCAATAAATTAAAATCGAAAATAAAATTTAAGAACCAACTATGATTTTTATACTTAGAAAAATTTCAACCATACCCTTTCTAATTTATCATATTTTTATGCTCCGTTTGACAGAGAAGATAGAAAGTAAGAAGAATGAAAAATACGAGGGATACACTTTCTATCCTTCAAAGATGGAAAGTAGGAAGAATTCACTTTCTTTCCTTTGTGTTTGGTTGGATGGATGAAAAATAAAAATGATTATTTTTTTATTTTTTTGTGCTGGCTAAGATTAAGGGTGACAATAAAGTCGAATCGCGTCGTGTCAGATTCGTATTGAGTCATTACAAGTTTATATCGAATATTAATCAAACCTAACTTAACTCATTTAACTAAATCTATCGTATCGAATTGCGAGTTGATTTATTTATTTTCGTATCAAGTTCGAGTCGTATCATCGTGTTGAGTCGAAAATTTTCACCCTTAATTAAGATGGAAAAATATTTTTTTAAATTTAAAATTTTATTTGTTTTATTTGTTATTTTTTATTTTTTTAAATTAATTTTTAAATTTTTTTAAAATATATATACATATTTTACCATTGTATTTTTATATGAAATTAATGTATACATAAAATATATAGACAAATAAGATACATTTCAACACAAATAATCCATTTTCCTTACGATTTTAGAGGGATTGATTTTGGTAAGTTGAAAGAAAAGTTAATTCATCCACTTTTTCATCTTACTACTTTCCTTCCTAACCAAATATGATGTTTTATTTATCCCTTCAACTTTCTATTCTCCTACTTTTCCATCGTATCAAACAGAGTATTAAGGATATCCTTTCTATTTTCTGAATCTTCAATGATACCTCCAGTCAAATTAAAAGTATTAACTAGAATACAACTTTATTAAATTGTCATGATATATTTTGAAAAAAACTACATCCACACTCCTCTAAATAGACATATTTTTAATGAAACTCTCTCTATTTTTAAAATTTTTATACGTATTAAAATTCAGGCAAATTAAACTTTGATTCGAGCTAATTAAAATTTATTTTTTATACATTAAAATTTAAGTTGATTATAAATTATATTTTCTTACCTTTTAAAATTTGAGCCGATTAAAATTTTATTCGATGCTCAAATCAAATTTTAATCAGTACAATTTTTGATACATAAAAAAATATAAACTTAATTGACTCAAATTTTAATATGTAAAAAACAAATTGTAATCAACTTGAATTGAATTTTAATAAATAAAAAAATATAAATTTTAATCAATTCGAAACAAATTTTAATCAAAACTAACAGTTCAAGTAGAGTTCAAATTGGCTACGTAAAAGACTTTTAATAGGCTCAAATTTTAATACGTAAAAAAAATAAAATTTAATTAACTCAAATTAAATTTTAATCAGCTCAAATTATAATATGTAAAAAAATAAATTTTAATTGACTCGAATTTTGTGTAGAATTATTGTTTGAAGCTTATGTAAGAATAATTTTGATATTTTAGATAATTTATTTTTATTATAAATGGTAGTTTAATAGCGGTAATATCAATTATATTTAAATAGAAATTAAAAGGTATGTCAATAATATTTTTGTAATAGAAAAATAAATCAAAAGGAGTGGTTGAAATTTTCTTCTTATGCTTAAATGTAAGGGTGACACGACTCTATCAGACTAACAATGATGTTATCATTTAACAAAAAGATAAAAAAGGAGTAAATGAGTTTTATAAAATCTAAATTCCTTACATGAGTGATTATAAATTTTGTGAGACTCACATTTATATTTGGTCATTTATTAATAAACAATTATACCACGTGATATTGTTGACATTATCCTTTATTGGGTTCGTGGTCTTTGGACAAGGTAGAATTTGGGTCGAGTTAATTAAATTTTATACAGTTTAACTTACCAAGTTTAACAATAAAAATATCATTTTCGTGTTAAATTTCGGAGTCCAAGTAATTTTTTTTTTTTCAAAAAAAAGTAATATTTTTCATTGTCCGGGGATGTGGACCCCACGAAGATGTGTTGTTTTTCTTTCTTTTTTGGGTATTAAATGAAGCTGAGTATTCAACGCACAGCTTTCAACCTCGAGCACCAAGGTCTGACAATTGGGTAGGGCTGTGCAAACAAACCCAGAAAATACGACCACCCGATTTATAACTGACCCTTCCGAATGAAAATAGATGGCTAAAAATGCTTCTAATTCAGCCTGCAGAAGTTATAAACCATTATCCGATTGAATCGGTTCGCATGACGGATAAGTTCAGTTCATAATCTGAAATACCTGAACCGTTCAAACAGTATTATTAATAATATAACAAAATAATTTTGTCCTTTAAAAAAATAAATAAATAAATAAATATATATATATATATATATATATATATATATATAAAATCCCTCAATTCACGAACGCTATACCTCATCTTCTTCTTGAGAACACTTTCCCACCGCCTCTCCTCACTCCTCAACCTCTTTTCTCTCTTCCAAATGCTGCTTTTTTTTATTTTTCTAACTCTTTGTCCTCTTCTTCTGCTCTTCATTTCTTCAGCCCTAACCGATCTTCAAATACACGATCATACAAGATATATTCAAGTGGATTTTTGGATCTTCAAAGTAAGCCTTGTTGTTTGTGGTATTCAAATATTACAAAATTATATATTGAAATTTTTGATTTGAACTATATAATATATAACAAAACAGTAAAAAAAAAGTTACACGAACGAGTTACAAGAAAAGAATTACAACAGTCTTACGCAATAGTAACAGTAAAGAGTTACACAGAAACAAAAGAGTACACGAAAAAGTTTCATGTAACTTTATGCCAAATTAATATAAATACTTCATCCGTTCCTAAATATCTATCGTTTTACCCAAATTTTTTTGTTCCACAATATCTGTCATTTTATGAAACCAAAGCATAATTAATATTTTTTCTTCCAAATTTACCCTTATCTCTGTTTTCTAATAAGTGTTTAATAAATTAAATGTAGGCTAAGTATTTTTCATATTTTTTTCCTTCCCAATACGTATTGAATAAGGGTATTTTAGTCTTGTGCAATTATTTTTTACTCATATTAGAGCTATTTAATAGCTTCCTTAATTTTTATGCAAAAACCTTAAACGACAGATATTTAGGAACGGATGGAGTACTAATCTGGTTGCAGAACAAGAACTGTCATTGAAATTGATGTAGATCAAGGTTAGTGTTTGACACTATGTCCTTAAGACAGATTTCGCCTTCACACACGGTGTTTATGGAATATCGAGCGTCTACCTCCCAAGATACAATCATCTTTACACAAGCAAAAATAACACTCAAATCTACTCATTCAGTAAACCAAAATTTATGTTCAGTACTCTCCAAGACACTGTCTTAATGCTGATATGCAGACTGTAATGAACTAATGTTTGCCTTAATGTCAAAAATGAATTGATGCATAATGGAAATGAAACTGAATACTTATAGACACTTTGGTGACTTTTCGGACAGTTACCATACTAAAAGACACAACCCAAAAAATAAAATGCAACAGCCAGAAGATACGTGGGAATTAGAGCCAAAAAAGGGACACGTGTGGAAAATCTTGCATTGTGTTTGGGGAAACGTAAGAAATCCTACATAATGACAAAAAAAGGTTAAAAAAAGCACCAGACATTTGCTTCCTCGGATACTGCATCTTCCGACACCCACAGCTTTCTATCTTGCTTTCTTCCACGCTCCGGGAAGAGGGTCGCTATATTCATTATTTACACAAAGTGCCACTCTCTCTGGTATTGTACACAAGTACACATGAAATCACCATTGCTATAAATTATATCAACTTAAAAATTAAATTTGATAAATTTTAACTATTGAATAGGTAATGGATTCTAATAAATACTAACACTCATATTGAAATCTAATTATCAAATTTAATTTTTAAATTTATTTTTTAAATTCATGTAACATTGCTCTTTCGTATAAAAAAAACTAAGATTTATATTCAATTTGTTTATATGGATGATTATTCTATAATACAAAATATGATATGCTTCAATAAATTTATTCGAAGGTCTAATATAAATTTATCCAACGGTCATTAATATCTTTCTCAAAATCATTCGTATTATACCGTTTAAACCGAAGTTGAAAAGTTTGTTTCTTAATCGAACTTAAAAAAATGTTTAAGTTCGACTAGTTTAAGAGATGAGCCAAACCTGAACGAGCCAAAAATAAGTCGAACTTGAATATTTACACATAAACGAGTTGAGTTTATCAAATTTGAACCGAGCTTATAAAGCTCATTTTCTAAACAAGTCTAAAAATTTATTCAAATTCAAACTCATTTAAAAAACGAATCAAATCTGAATAAGTTGAACCCAAGTTGAACTCAAATCAAGCCCGATTAACAACCTCATCCCAACCCAAACATCTCTCTCTCTCTCCACCGAACCCCACCACCTCCGTAGTCCACTATCGCAGCAAAACCTGTCATCACAGCACCTCCCCCATGCCAGCCCACCCCCCTCTTAGCCATCCCATTGAAATCCACCACCTGCAACACAACTATCGCAGCCCACTCCCGTAGCAAAACCCACCCCCGCAGCACCTCCCCCATGCCAGCTCACCCCTACTCAGTCATCTCTCTCTCACACAGACACACGAACACACAACTCCAACCCACCACCATCTTAAAGCTTTTTCTTCACCATCACAACCACCACCATATTTCTATCTCATCGACTCCCGCTTACTCCCTTTCATTTATGCTAATAAAAAAATAGAAGGATGAAAAATTGGAAGGATAGAAAGTTAGATGAATAAATAAAACATCATATTTGGTAAGGAAGAAAAATAGAAATGATGGAAAAGTGAAGGGATTAACTTTCTTTCCAACTTATCAAAATCAATCCCTCCAAAATCGAAAGAAAAATGGATGAAAAGTTAATTATTTGTGTTGAAATGTATCTTATTTGTCTATTTATTATGTATACATTAATTTCATATAAAAATACAATGATAAAATATGTATTTATATATATACTTTAAAAATTTTAAATAAAAAATTAAAAAAAATAAAAATTTAAAATTTAAAAAAATATTTTATTCATCTTAACTAGAGGTGAAAATTTTTAACTCGACACAATAACACAACTCAAACTCGACACAAATTTGATTGTAACTCGACACGGAGCATTAAGCATTTCAAGCTTATTCTTGAGGTATACAAAAAATCGATTGCATATTTGTTGTCTTTTGTGTTTTGATTGATGGGTATATGATAATTTATTGTGGATTATATTGAATTGGTGGAAGAGTTTGAGAGAAAGAGAGATGAGATGGTTAGGATAGGGGAGTTTCAGTGAGGTGGGAGTGTTATAGGGGGTGTGTTTCGGTGAGGAAGGGAGAGTTGGAAGAGGTGGGTTTTAGTGGGGTAGAGAGAGAGAGTTTCAATGGATGGATTTTAGTGAGGAAGGGAGAAAGGGTGTGTAGAAGGAGGGTGAGAAGGGCTTGAGATAGAAGAAGGGTAACACTTTATTTTTAGAAAAATGCTACATAACCCATCCATTTTTTGAAGGGAGAGAAGGGCTTGTAGCATTGCTCTTATTTTTAAGTTAAGGGGACTTAATATAACAATTAAAACTCCTAGGAAATTATGTGTAAATGACCCTAAATATATGGGTTTTTTGTTTTTTTGCATTTAACCTTTATTTAAATGAGTAAAGTCTTTTTTTTTTTTTTGGTGCATTTTCATTTAACGGTTACACTACGTGATAATGTTAATTTGATGTAACCGTTGCACCTAATATTTGCTCCTAAAATTGGGATATATCTATGTTACCAAAAGTTTACTTTTGGATAATTTATAATTTATACATTTAATGTATGCAGATAGCATTTATTTGATCTTTACAGTTTCAACCGAAACAACTACATTTTTAAAATTTTAGCCCAGTTTCAATCCTAATCTCTTATTCTAATCTATTAATTTGTTTTGACAGAAAGACAGCGTGGGACTTGTCCATAAGGATATATTTATCAAACAAAAAATAGAGATGTATTTCTCTATTTATTTCACATTATCTCTCAAATTCTCACCTTGTATCTTTTTTCAAATTTGTTATTTTCTTTTTTCTCAAAATCAGATAAAATAAAGTAAAATATTCTAATCTACGAGTCTCAGATTTTTCACCAAACAAATATGCATCTTTGCCCAAGTTATGTATTGGTCACAAAATACCATTATGTCATAATAAATTAATATTTTGATGCAAAGACAAAATTGAAACTCAATTAAAATTCTACCGATTTGATTGTTGGAACTGGATCTTCAAGAACCAAATAAAAATTAGTTACATACTTCAAGACCGTATATTGTAATTTACCCTTTATGTTTTGGTATTGTATTCTATTTTTTCCAATTAATTTATATATGAGTAATTTATCTTATTATTTCTGATAAGGGCGAAATTTTAGGCATGAGCCGCCATAACCTTAGAGTCCAATAAACTCAGAAGATCCTCGCCTGTTTATTAACTCAAAGGGAGAACCCCAATCAGTCCACGTTGAAGAGCAGAAAGGGCCGAAAAAAGAGAGTCCAACGGCACCAGAGGGCCAGCAGTGCAGCCCAGGCCCAATTCAACGACAAGCCAAAGGATAACCCAGTACCGAGAAGCCAAGTCCTCGCCCTAGGAGCACCCCGCCATGCCACGTGTCCAAAAGACAGGGAGACCATCTCTGACGTCTGTGACAGTTGCACCCTCTCAAACACAGACAGTAGTGGTAGGCATTACGATCCAAAAATCGAGGGCATAACAGCGCCGAACGACAGAGACTGTTGCAGGACTGTGACAAGGAACCCTACAGAATCAACAAAAAGGTAGAAGGAGCCACCGAAAACCCTAGAAGGAAGGACTGGTATAGATAAAACAGTGTCAACCTACCAAAGGAGGATCTCCCCCACTGTATTTCTCAGCTCTAGATACACAACGAACTAAGCATAAGCCCTTGCAAAGGCTCTGTGCCAACAATCTTGGCATTGTCACCTGATCCCAATATACGACCTTAAGGAGCAAAAGACTTCATTACAGTGAACGTAACCTTAGTCTTTCGGCTAAGGTGAACCACTTACACTCTATGCCTTCCATTATTCACAAGTTAACCTCATACTCAATTGAACTCACTAATCCAAGTAGCAACTCATCGATTGGGTTTTGGCTATTATTCCAAGACCCCATCAATTTCCATGATCAATAGTTTGGAATAAATTAAACTAATACATACATTTTTTTGGGTATTAATTTTTAGTACTATAATCTTATCCCTCAAGGTATATTTCCGATTTTCAAATGTTTTGTCAAGTTTAAGTTGTCTTATTTAGGGAATTAATCAATTACAACTGTTAGATTAAAAGTGACTTCCATCCAATCTTAAAATTCACAATTAATCCAATGAATTAGACAGATGATTAGATCTCATGGCAGTGCTCATCATTAAAAGAAGCTCTTCCAAAAATAAATTGTGCTGGTTCAAAAAAAAAAATAATAAATTGTGAGGTAAGGGCCAGGGGAGCCTGCTTGGTTACAACTACACCGATTTCTGCTGTCAGAGTTGGGACCAAAGCTCAAGCCTGTTACATATTACAAGAACACACAGGCCGAGGTCCAGCCCACACTGACAACCCAGGAATGCGAAATAGATTTGCAAGCTTATTATCCCCACAAGAAACAGAAAAGTAAAAAAAGACCAAGCAAAACAAACATTAATAAAAAACATACGGAAACAGGGAGGACCTAGATCTTATAGAGCAGGAGCGGAAGCGCAAAAGTGGATGAACTAATATCGGAGTACAACTCTTAAACAACTCAAAAGGTCATGTGCAGCATAACTTGTGGACGACTAGTCTATATGTTTATCTAAGAATTTGTCTTCTGACTAGATAGCCTCTGCTCAATCAATCATGATATCTTGTCCATTTAAGCATTAATGCAAATCGATAATCCAATTTACAAACGAGCTAATGGAATGAATTCATACCGGTAAATAAATACTCAAATTCCAAAAACAAGGAGAAGGAACTAGTTTCCGGAAAAAAGTAATCTCGACAAGAATTTGCCCTAATCTACCACGGAGAAGGTATTGTCCTCAACTTTGACATACGAGAATATGTCAAAAAATTTGCCTCGTGCACACATAAAGAACATGGAAAGAGAGGGAAGAACTATGACGACGGTGCTGATTCAGATTAATAGTTATGACAACGGGAGCTGGTGTTGAACTTTTTCTTTATAGCATAAGAGCGGTAGAATGATTTTGAGGTTATTGATTTAGGTTATCAAATCAAGGAATCTCCAATTGAGGAAGCAAGACTCATCATCGAAATCATTAATGGTCGTAGTTTGGCCATAGTGAAATTGTGAACATGAATCATTTCACAGCTTGTGCTTCCCAACCCAGGATTAAAGCTTTCTTTCTAGACCGAGTAAATCCATCAACCATCGAGTTTATCTAGTACCCTATTCCGAATGGTTGTCACATTTCCAACAAGAGTCACAAGAGTTTGCGAAATGAACCAAACATCAGGAAAGAGCACGATTAATCTTTGTCTGCTCATGTAGGTTGTATCAGTACGCTAGCAATCTAACTTATCACATGAACAAATTGGTCAAAATTTTCAAATGATCCCGAGTTTCAATATAGTATAACAATGTACAAGAAATCACCATGCCAAACGACAATATAAGCATACTCACCAACTCGCAGCATCTTAAATATCAAATTGAACGCAGCAAATAGCGCAAGGAAATTTATTGGACACTGCCAAGATTAAATTCTCAAAGTAGACATCTGTGAGCTGTTTCAAACTCGTTTAATCAATCAAGAATCAAATAATCCGGGGATATAGACCAATCCATCGAAGCTCACAACCGTAAAAAGACATCAAATAAAGAGAAGTCGAGAACTTGCCTCTTTGGGAAATAAACGCAAACACATGGCAGGCGAACTCAAAAATCAAGCACCGCAAATCACCTTCAACTTTTCCGCGGCACCTTCATCCACCGAATACTGCAACCACAATAAAATCCAAATGGATATGCTACTAAACAGAACAATTCGTCACATTAACAGATTTTTTTTCTTGTGTGTGTGAGTCAGTTTGTGTGGAAGTTGTATGAACCTTGTTGAGGACCCAGAGGGAATGGGTATAAGTCCTACTGAGTAGTTCTTTGAGTGCAGTGTCGTCGTTGGCATCGACCTCTCTGTAATTGACGAAGTTTTCTCTGGCGTACTTGGCATAATAAGGCCTTGTGTCCTTCGGGAGTCGCCTTACTAGCCTCAACACTTCACCGTAGGCCTGTAAAGCTCTCTGCATTTCTCTTCCAAGAAGTATCAGATCAAACCGCCACTGAATGCTCTAGCTGGCAAAATTAAGGGTTTTTTGCACTTTGTGCCAGAAAAAGAATTTAAGTTTTTCATTTTCTACTTTCAAAAATTAAATTTTTTTATTATACTTTTATCAAAAGTATTACAACGTGATCTTTTTATTAATTTATGTTATTTTTTCTGTCCAAAGCTAACTCATTGACACTGACATAAAAACTAACAGAAATGTCACATTGTAATACTTTTAATATGTTGATAATGTAATATAAAAAATTTAATATTTTGAGAGAATAAAATAAAATTTTAAAATATTTTAGGGTACAAAGTGTAATTCATTCATTAAGTAAATATATATAGATAAAATTCAATTTGTCCCCCGTGGTTTAAGCCTTTAGCACTTCACCCCTCCTACAGTTCAAAATTCAGCACATAACCTCCACTCCATGTGGTTTTTGTCCATTGCATGTAATATGGAAAATTGGCTAGCTTAAGTAGGATATATTAAGAGGTAATATTTTTGAATTTTCTAAGTCCAAATTAATTGTGTGTGTCTTCTCATGTGACATAACTCTAATCCCATCGACAGTGTTGGTCCAATAAGGCACGCAAAAAAACGTGGATTTTAGGTCCTAATTATAAAAGATGCTTCATCTTTCATATCTTCATAGTATAGTTGAGGCTAAACTTTAAACCCAAAATATTCTAAGTCAATACCAAGAAAACTTATAAAGATAAAGCTTAATAAGATAATTCTATGTTTAATTGTCTCGACTCATTCATAGATCAGCCCACAAAATCCAAAATTCATATCTCTCCATTTGTCCTAGACTAGTGCTTCACAATATTCATATCTTCTGAACCTACATAAAAATAGTTCACTCAATTTTGTTGGGGAGAATGATAATCTAACTTTGATTATGAGAGAATCAAAATATTAAATTTTAATTTTTTAGAGTAACATTGATGAATTAAGTTTTATTGTTTCATATTTTTAGGGCTTTTGTTTCAATTTAAACTTTTTTTTTTTTTTTGTAATTATAGATTCTTTTTGTTCATATGTACTTATTTTGATTATATATTATAGATAACCATTCGGATATAAAAAAATTAAAAATAAGAAAAATTAATTTTACCTAAAAAAATCTTTTGATAAATTTGTTACAAGTATCAAACAAAAGGGTATGTTAGTAATTGAAAAGGTATGATAACAAATTTTGAAAATACAATAATTTGATTAGAAATGTGTGTTTGAATTAGCGAGAATTTATTATTTTTAAAGTTACATTAGTATTAAAAAAAAATTAAAAAGCTTCATTAACTTCAAGCCTCAATATGTGTCGGGTTGCCCTTTGCCCATCAGGTGGCTAAAATGAAAATTCAAGATTTACAGATCATTTGTTTGCTCTAGTATTGAACGGTAATTCTCGTGTGCATTTAAATACTTGAAATAGTTATGTTAGATTGACCAAGTTAGAATTGACAATCAAAAATTATTATTGTTCTGATTATGAACTAGAGAGTATGAAATTAATAAACCCGTCTTGCTTTGGCTCGTTTCTTCTCACCCTCCTAGTCTTCTTCTTTTTCCATCACATAACATTGATAATTCAAAAATTATTAAATTTTATAGAAGATTGAATCTGATTTTTTTTTATAAAAAAAAATGAATAGCCAATTAATTGGTAAGTTGTTAATTAGAGAATACTTAACTTTGTAATTAATTAAATAAAAATTCTAAAAATTAAGAAAAATAGGAGAGGAAGTTTCTCAAGTCCTATCTCAATAAAAATAAATAAATAATAATAATTTATACATATATATATATATAGATAGACAGATAGATTTCCCAATTGAGTTTCCTTGTTTTGGCTTTAACTACAAAGAAACAAAAATTTTAGTTGTAACCAATATACTAACTTGAATCTATTTTCACAGGAGAAAAAGAAATTTAAAGACAAATGGTGCAGGAGAAGAATTGCCACGTCCTCTAAAACTGCAACAATTAATTAATTAATTAATTGAAAATGATCAATGTTTAGGGAAAGGCATTGGCGCTGTCATTTAGCTGTATCTTGTCTGATTCCCCCCTCCAGAAAAGGAAAAATTATATCTCATTCTAACCCATCCCCCATTGATTTTTCTGTGTTTTAAAAAAAGACAACTATGGGGTTGGTTGATTTTTTCTGTGTCTGAAAAAACAGACAACTATGGGTTGGTTGCGTTCTATGTCTTGTTTAGTTGCTTTGCAGGTGGATGTTGCAAACAAAAACAAAAAGTACAGATAATATTTGATGTTAATCTATTAATTAACATTTAATGTCTCTCTTATGATTTAGAGATTTGGCATTGAAAAAGACAATGTCATAAAAAAGTTTAGGACGTGTTTGAATTGTAACTCAGAAAACAGTATCTAAAAAAATATTTTTTAGAAGAATTTCAAAAAATTATGTTTAGTTATATATTTTTAAAAATAATTCTACAAAATAGAAAACAGTGAAAATTGTTTGGATCGAGTGTTTCATATAATTTTTTTAATATTTTAACCTTGATAAAATACAAAAAAAATGTAAAAAATAAAAATAATAAAATTTAAATCCTTTGTTGAAGCAAATCTTAAAGTCGTTGAATAGCTCTCCAAATCGCTCTATGGTTTGGACTGGGCCTGGACAGCTGGGTTATAGGCTTTTTGCCAATGCTAGGTCCTTATTCTCTGCTCCGGGTCTCTTGGGCTGGTCAGGCCTCTGGGCTATCAAACCCCTGGCCTTGAGTTTCGTCTGTATCAGTTGCCCCCCAGCCCTAGGTCATGAAGATGTTATCACTTCTGACCTGGGGTTCAAAATGACTTTTCTGGGCTTGTTATGGGTATGCCCGGCTATTGGTTCTGATTAAGATTGGGTCTTGCCTCCGTTTACCGACGATGATGGAATGACAATACACACGTGTCACAATCGGGTGAGCTCGTGGATACGACTTTTGTAGCATGTGTTGTCACTTGCCTGTCTCGAATTTAATGTTTCACACATATATATACGTCCCTCATAAAAAGGGGGGAAGGTTTCTTGGCTTTTTGTTCTGTGGTTCCAAGTCCCTCTTTCCTTCGTGCTCCTTTCCCTTTCTGTGCATTTGAAGTGATTTGATCCAGAATCTTGGGGGACTTACGACATCCTTGTCCTTGGTTCTCCTCTTCCTCTAGCGTTTCACTAGGTACGTCCTTCTTCCTTTCTCCTTGCTATTTCGACCTGGATCCATTTAACCCTCCCTGGTGAGGTTTTGGGTTTCGCTTCCTGATCTGGAGGTTTAGTTATTTTAAAGAGCACTCCGACGACTTTTCTTTCCTTTCGCGATTCGTTAGTGATTCTTTAGTGGCGAGGGTATCCTTACTCAGGGCTTGGTGTTTGAAACCTTTAATTTTGGCAGATTGTGCCTTGCATTTCCTTTCCCTTCATTCTAGTGTGAGGTCCGACCATTTGATGGGGAAATTTGTTGTTTCTTCTTCTTCCCAATCTGAATCTGTCAGTGGGGAGGCCGAGGAGACCACTACTGCTTCCTCTAGTGGGCGTTCTCTTTCCACCAGTAGCGGAGCCCCTGAGTTTACTACTAGAGTTATATTCTCGGTGCCTCCAGCCGAAGTTGCACCTCTTTCTACCCTACCTCCTGGTTCTCCGGCTCGAACGAAGAAGAGGAAATCTGGGCCGCTCCGCCCCCCGTTTCTAAAAAATAACTCGTCGCGAACCGTCTGACTTGACTTGTTGTGCGGAGGGGACCCCTAGTTGTCTTGGTGATGAGGATTTGGAGGAGTTGAAGCGTGAGTATCACTTTCCTGACTTCGTGGAATTACATTCCCCTAGGATGCACGAAAGGTGAAATTCTATTCTCCCTGAACTCACTTGCTTCTTGGAGTCTGCATTCCGGGCTGGTCTTCGATTTCCTATCCATCTTTTTATTCAGAATGTTCTCGAATTCTACAACGTCTACCCTAGCCCAACTGTCTCCAACGGTTGGGGCCTCCTGGTTGGTTTCCTTGTCCATTGGTTTAAGAGTGGGAACCTTCCCCTTCCCTCTATATGAGAATTTGTTTTTCCTTTTTCCAGTTGAAGTCTTCTCCCTCCTCAGGTTTCTTGTATTTTGCTAAACGACTAAAGGCGAAGACTCTGATCTTTAGACTTCCGTCTTCCAATAAAATATGGAAATCGAGGTTCTTTTTTGCCAAGGGCGATTCCCGGGAGTTGTCAGGGGAGCCTGGCGACGTTCCTCGTGTTCCAAGATCTTGGGGTGTCCCAAGGAACACTCGTAAGGCTAATCTATCGGCCGTGTTCCCCTTTCTTATCTTCTTTTCTCCTTTTCTTTTTGTGTTTCTAACTTTTGATCTGGTTTGTAAAATTCTGCCCAGTACTCGACACGGAGGAGACAACTCGAATTGCTAGAATTGAGGCCTTTGGGTTGAGAAATTTCTTCGACTTGGTGACCGACGAAAATCCCGCTAAACACAGGCTTGGACCACCCATTATCCGAGCTTTAGAGGCTGCTCCACCTTCTGTCTCCTAGTCGGGCAACATGGACCAAGATCTGATCATGACGGTGTTCTCGGATACCGAGCAGTCGAGAAAGAGGAAGAGATTGGCGAAGGGAGGCCAGCTGCCACCCAAGGAGGCATCGGCCACGGGGCCCATACCCACTTCTTTGGGACAAAAAAGTGGAGTCGTTCCTCCCCGAGGGGATGCTGTCGTGCCCCCGCCTTCTCCTGCACTTTCCAAGGGCGACACCGGCTCGGAAGGGACTTCAGTAGACAAACTTGACTTTTCGGCCTCCAATTCTACCTCACCTGAGAATTTTTCTCCGAAGGGTGAAAGAGGGGAGTCCGCCCCTTCTAATTTTAAGGTGCGTGGGGGCGGTTTTCTTCGCGATCCTAAAGTCGGAGTGGCTGCTCTATTAGAGCTGATCTCCACGTCGGATCCTCAGTCGGTGATGGAGGTTCCCTTTAAAAAGAAGATCCAGCATACCATCCAAGGCCTGGCCGAGGTACCTTCTTGTTCAGTTTATTTACT